ACCATGCGTTGCCCATTAAATTCACTTTTTGGTCAAAATATTTAAATTTGAAGATATTTTTTTAAAAATTATTATTTTGAAAATTTGCACAAAAAATATAATCAAAAACATTCATTTTAAAGATAAATCTTCACTTTTGGCAGTGCTAGTTATAACATAAGTTAAATAATAACGCATTATGAGTGATTACATATAAATATATGTAGATATGAATACATTCTTAATAATGTTGTAATGTAATGAAATTTTTAATTTTCTGAAAACTAAATTAAATCAACAAACAAATTAGTGCACGCATATGAAATGAACACTTAAGAAAGAGAATATGTAATGTGAAATATTTCTGCTTCTTTTTACCGACCGCATTGTGCTTAAAATAAGGTACATAGGTTATGTGATGGCAACAAATTTTGCATATCGAGTTTTCGGCGGGAATGCAAATTTCAGTGGTAGGGAAGTGTAAACAAACTATTTTTAGCAACCTGCCGGTCTGTCGGTCTGTGTGTGCAGGCGTGTATCTCAAGTTCGGCCGAATCAATTTTGATGAAATTTAATACTTAAGTTTATTGCGATTATGGCACGTTCAACTTCAATCGGAACCTCCTAACTTTTGGAAGAAATCAGATGTCAGCAACTGGACGCTTACTACGGGTCAAATATACATTCTTGCGTATATAGCGAAAAATAATAATCCGATTTCATTGAAATTTAATATTTAAATTCGAGGTGTTAAAACAATGAATCTATAAATTTTTTGGAAGGATCAGGGCTCGGAAACTGATCTGGGGCCCGATTTTATATTTTTGCTATATCTACGGAACGAATTGATGGAATTTCTTGAAATTTAATATTTGGGCTATGTTAATTATTGCTGTTAATAATGATGTTGTTACCAGCAGTTACTGAAGAATTTTTCATGTAATTCAGACGACATAAGAAGAGACTCTACTAAGAGCCAAATCACATTTTTCTAGGTATGTTAATTAAAAACTTACTAGTGTCCTTAAAATTGTAATGAAGGGTTTAAAACACATTTTCATAACCTTCTAGAATACTTTTGCTAAACTAGACAATATACATTGCGGCCGGTTATGTGCTGACCACATCAGATTTTTTATTGTTGTTTTTATTCATGAACTTAAATATCTAAAATGGTTCTGCGTTAATTACATGCATTTATATTTATATGTATTATGTTAGAATAGAAAAAAAAATATTTATGTGATATGATGTTCATTCTTAGATGTATATAGCAATTGACATTCAATTTGTTTGCGGAATAGGTGAACTTAAAATTTTTAAACATTCGCTGATTGCAATTTTTATTTAAGAAATTCGATTTAACGAAATTGACGCAATAGTTTAGTTGGTTATATTTAAACTAAACATATTATACAGATGCTAGAGTAAAAGAGCATGGCATACAAAACTCCAAAAACTTTGTATTTTTGTTTTAAAATTTTAGTTCATGTACATCTCAAAATATTACTCATAAATTGATTACTGTTAATAAATGGATATAGTTTTTTTATATTTTGCCTATCAACAATTTATTACTTAGTTTAATATATGTATCGTAACCGACCTCTCTCTGCTTCACTTGTTCATTATAAATTTCATTTTCGGCGTATATATAATGATAAACCAAAAAAAAAATAAAAAAAAATTTTTAAGGTATTTTTTTTATTGTTATCCTATTATGAAATGAATGATAACAAAAAGCCACAATCAAAAACAAAAAAAATAATCGCGATAAATGAAGATGACAACGGCCACACAAATCATTTAATATAGCGATACAAACAGATATCGATATCTCATCCTAAAATAAGAACAATTACAAGAGCATATGTATACATACATATATTTATGCACAATTTCTGAATATTACCATTTTTTTATATTTGCATTCGTACATATTGTATACATGTACTTATATATCATCTTCGTATTAAGCATATGCTAGCACATGCACTAGTAATATTTTTTGCATATTTGTGAATATTTGGTATAAGGCGATTTACACAATGTACCTACTATAAAAGCTTTATCTTTATTTTTCTTTAGATGTATGAAAGGAAAACTCCCTTTTTTCCGGAATAAAATACTTTTTTTTTGTTAATATATTTCGTGAAGAAAACTTTAATACGAGTATATACATTAAAGTTTTCTTGTCATATGAACCTAAAAAAAAATTTATATTTCGGAAAAATATCAACATTTTCAATGAAAAAATTTATCTTCATTATTATTTATTTATTATTATTTTTCAATTTTTCAAGAACCTATCTATAAAAATTTTATAAATACACAAAAAAATAATAATAATACCAATAAAAATTGTCGTCTCGTGTCAAGTAGTAGAGTATAGAAAATGTTCTAAATTGTTATTTTATAAAAAAGAATAAACAAAACAACAACGAGATATTACAATATTCAAATACAAATATATTTTTATATATTAACAGTAGAAGCAAAAAATAATATTAACAATAGAATTTGAAAAATAATATATAACACTTTAAACGTACAACATGTATAGCATTCCCTGGTATTTTAATAGAGAGTGTTAACTTTCCTTCTTAACTATATGCAGATTAGTTTTAACTTTTTTATATAAAAGAACTTCAAAAGAACTTCTTTTATATACATACAAAAGAAAATGTAATAGGAGAACTATATCCCGTTAGGCAATTAAAATTGATGATTATAAGATAGAGACTAAATATTAATATGATTATTTTTGTTTACAAATTGTTTACAAAAATATTCAAGCCTTTGTGAAAGATCACATTTTACAAAGTCTTGAATATTTTTAATAAATTACCAACAGCAGTCAAGAATATAGATCAATTGAACTTGCTGATTGTATAAAATTTTGTTTATTTTATTGAATTTAAAAAAAAAAATTAATTGAGTTGAATCTAAATATTTAAAGAACAAAATTTTTGAAAATCATTTAGAAATTACTTAACCGAAATTACATAAAAGTTAATTTAAAATAATATATTTCGGTTATTTTTGATTTATTTCTCTTTTTAATCTTTATTATATTGTAAGAACTTGAAGTACTTGTACTATAATAAAATTAAAAAAGAAACTACTTACTTATATTTTATAATTACGAGTACATGGAATATGCGTAGTTGAATACGATTTTTTTTTTAAAGTATAGACTGCATATTATTAAGATTTCAATATTATATGATAAACTATATTTTTTATATCTGACTTTAAAACTCCAGTTAAAAAGATTTTAATACACAATTCAGCTTGTACTCGTAAGCTGTAATTGCTCAATTGTGTATATTAATATTACAGTATTACTGCATTTTTGAGGTCGCGGTACATTTTACTTTATCTAGAATAGAATATCCTGAAGACAGGATGACTGAACAAAAATTGTATAACTTATTTATCTTAATTCAGGTATTCTATCTAAATCATATCTATATTGATCTCGATAGAATACCTGAATAAAAATGTATAACTCAGCAAGTTATGGTTTATGTTGGATCTATACGTTTAAAGTTCTAACTTTTTGTTTCGAATTATATGTAGTATTTTTTCAAATTTTTTCGTATTTGCCCGTTATATTATACGAGCAGACTGTATATAATGTGTATGTATTTATGTTGAATATAATAAAATAAGAATAAAATATGCCTATTGTGCAAAAAAAATTATATAATTAAAATTGTTTTTCTCTTTTTTCACAATTAATTGTACCTTTTTATGTATTACACTACTATTAATAAATATCAGTTACTGTTATCTAATTTTAATATACCCTCAAATGATGTGAACATCGTATTTTATATTGAAAATCTTATATACATACATACAAATAATGTATATGTTAACGCTAATAATGTATATGTTGTTCAGAAATATAATTTTAGTTGAATTTTAGTATAAGGCAAATTAATTTGTTTAAAAAATATAACTAGTTATTTGTTTTATACAAACGATCCCGTCATTAAATACATCTTCACAAAAAACAAGACGTCAGGATTTTTCTAGACGTCAGAATTACAATTAGTGCAAATTCGATATTCTGGATCCTAGTCGATAATTTTCGTCTAGAATTCCAGAATATCGGAAAAGAGTGCAGATAACAAAAACTGATCTCAGACTTCTCCTCCATATACAAGTAAATACTAATAGGTACTCATAACTACTGTTTAAAATATAGAATAACCTTATCCAAAAATTGTTTTACATATATTCGAGAAAATTAATATTAAAGTAAGCTCCATTTTATTCTTAAACTGAGTAATGTGTTGTTCACTTTATTTATATTCTGATTCTCAATTTCGATTTCATTTCAAATAATTTCATGTATGAACATATACATACATATGTATGTATATAATTACTCGAGATTTGCCTGTTATAACGAAAATACAATTCTATACATAAATATCAGAGTTACAATAATAATTTAATAATAACAAAAAAAAATATATTTATTTAAAAACTATAAACTTTTTTAAATTTATCTACATACATTCTCACTGACTATATTATTTGTATATATACATTCGTACATGTATAAATTTAAATATGTATATAGTATATATGGTAAAATACATATATAAATTTTAAGAATTACTGACTGATATTCGACCGGTTCATTGATAGTAGGTAATTCATTTTATTTAACAGTTTCTTTTTAAACGTTATACGGTTTAGAGCTTTATTTAATATTTTTTATTATAATTTTTTTTTGTTTTCGGTGTTTTGTTTAGTTTTATTTTGTTGTTAACTATTTTTTTATTATGTTTTTGAATAATTATTGTTATTTTATTGTAAATTAATTATAAAATTGTAATTCTGATTTTTTTATAAATTTATTTTAACTTTGTTTTCAAAACAAAACTGATTTATTTTTTTCTATTATCCTTTAATTTTTTGTTATTTATTGTAATAAACAAATTAAATTTAATTATAATAACATTTAAAAAAATGCACACTATGCTCGTGTGTATAAGTGAGTGTGTCATAAATTTTATTATTTTTTTTAATATTAAATTACAAATTATTTAATAAAAAAATAAAATATTTTAAAAAAAAAAGGAACAACAAAAAAACCACAAAAGTGTCTCATTATTACCCAAAAAAATTTAATTAAATAACATTAAAAACCAAAAATAATAACAAATAAAAATTTATTTAGTTGAATTTTAATTCAAAACATGTAAATAACACAGAAAAATCGATTAAATTGTTTTGAAATTTGCTAAAAAACAAAAAAAAAAAGAACAAAGGTGATAATTTTTGTAAAAACTGTAGAACTCAACTATGGAATTGAAGTAAAAAAATTTTAGAAAAATAAAACACATAAAATCATTGCAGAATTAAACAAGTCCTGCGTGTGTTCATATTAAAGATCATAAAAAAGAGCGTCATCTATATGTCAAATTTAATTAGCTAATTTGAACATTAATATTGAAATTGGGTTTTTTGAATTGAATGAGAATTCCAATAATTTCAATAGCGTTCCTTTTTTTGTTTTCTCTTTAAGAAAAATGTTCAATTCCATATCAAAATTATCTAAACGAATTATTTTGGAAAAGCTCAAACGCGATCCAGATCACAATGAAATTTAGGTACTTTATTTATATTAATATTTTATGTACATATTTTTTTATTATAAAAAAAATTAAAGTTAACCCAGAACTTTACAGCAATTTTAAAATTTTAAAATTGCAATAAAGGAATACTGTTTTGCCGTAACTCATAATCTGCTATTACGGCAACTTTATGAAGTCCCTGGATAAATAACGAAAATTAATTTTAATTTCTGTGCTCATTTCATTAAAATACATTTATATAATATTTAAATAACCGTATATGCCTGACATCCAACTTGCAGTATAGTAATATACGTTAAAAATAAAACAAATTTTTAACCGCATATTTTACCTTAATTATAGGAGGTAGGGAGAGTTTTTGTTAAAAATGAATAAATACAACATTATATTAAAAATTTTTGAAATCTTAGAAAATGTTACCTCAACTGTATAGCACATAATGGATTTTTGAGTGAAATTTTAAACATCATTTGAGCTGGGTTAAGGGAATATGAGACAAAGATAGCGAAAGCGCCAAAAAGACAGAAGAAAGTACACTCAGCTATATGTCTAACTTTTTTGTCTTATTTGTGCAGCTAAACGGAGATATTTTATTTGCTTTGCCCGCATATTTGCACAAATATTCTGACAAAAATTTTTAATAAAAGTAATTTTAACTTTAATTTTTTAATTAAAGCGATCCTTACTATGCTTATACATATAAGGAATAACTTTGAAAAATTTTCTTTTTTGTTGGAATTTCTGAAATTAACATTTTTTTTAATAATTTTGAAGTGAGTATATCAAATTCTTGTTAATGAGTACAGAAATCACAATTTGTGTATATGTGTGTTACTAAAATGATATTGTATTTAATTAGCATTAATTTTATTACGTATCAAGATTATTGTTTAATATGTTCTTTAATGAAGTTTTTATTATTAATCTTATCGAATCTTTAATTTTAAAAAATACTTAAAAAACTTTTTAGATTTATGAATTTTTGTGGAGCACACACTCTATTGCACACACACTCTATTTACTAACCTACATATTATATTAAACAATAATATGATAACAAAATATCTGAAAATTTTTTAAATTTTGTTTTTATCAATCATACTCGTATTGCATACAACAATTAAAAAGGGAGATATTGCAAACTTAATAATCTTTCCGATTTAAAAAAAGTGGAAGACAATCCTAAATGTATATTTTTATACGGACAATCAACATGCTTTCATTATTAATAGGATAAAAGCTATTTTGTTGATCATATATACATACAACTCCACTCAGGTAGAAGATATACGAGCTATATTCGCATGTAGCACTTGGTTGTCCATTAGCCAGCTAACATAACTACCAGATCAACTGTTTACCTATTTACCTTTCTCATTACACATCTGCTTACACAAACTGCCTTTTAACCTAATCGTTTGGCTTATAACCTATTTATCAACATGAAAAATTACCTGATTGTTTAATTATCTGTTTACTTGCTTATATTTTAAATGCTCGTTTATTTGCTTTCCAGTTCATTTGGTTGCTTGACCGCCTGCCATTTGCCTATTTTGCTCCTCGTTCGCCTGCTATATGTTTCTACCGTTCCAATTTATTTGGGAAATTTAAAACAAATGTGTACGAAAAATTTTTACTCTCCTCTTGAACATGTTCCCTAGACGAACAATTAGTTTGAAAAAAAAGAAAATACATACGTTCGGCCCTATGCTGATCAAATCGAGAATTTTTTAATTGATAATAAAATTAAATCGTCAACCTTATCTATTCCAACTTAAACCACTCTTATCAAGAATGTATTCCTGGCATCTATAGAATTACTTTTATTACATACTTCAGCTTGTAAACGTTATTGTTGAATTATTTAGCCATATAATAATGCTGATTGTTATTGAAAGCAGTAATTTCACTTGTTCAAACCACATTGATTCAACTTTAAGTTATTTTCTTTTTTTCTTAATGTTAAATCGGATATAGAATTCTAATTTTTGCAATTTTTTTATACACATATATGTAACGATTAACTTTGATATGCCGGTTGCGGTGTGAACATAAGTATATATTATATTCTCGTTCAGCGTATAATTTTGCGTTGATTTAGACATGTCCATCCATGTGATCGTACGATAATAGTTGGAGTAGCTTCCATACAACTTAAAGAGATTATTTCAAACATTTCAAAAACTAATAAAGATATTATTAGTTTGAAATTGTAAACGTGTGTCTAATTACATTTCACATACACTCTGAAAACTTTAATGAAATAGTTGCATTGGTTCAGTTAGCTGCTCAAAAGATAATATGCATTAATGATAATGATTCATGAGACTTTTATTACACATTCTTTATTGAGAATTCAATTACAGAGTCATATGCCCAATTATGGGTCAGATCAATTCGTGAAGTTCTTAATATTCCTTTCATCTTTTTTAGACGATCTAAATTCTTTTTCAAAATTATCTTTTGTTTGATACCATTTTTTCGCATCTTCTATTATTTTCGGATCTATTTTAATTTCATTTATGTATGCATATGCGCGAAATATTTTTTCTGAGATCCCTGATTATTGTAACACGTAATAAATTAAATACCATGCTTAAAGTTTATATATAAGAACGATTACATTTCATAATGTATAAAAAATTCTAAATTATATGAACATACATAAATTCAAATATAATATAAATTATGTAGTTTTGTAAATATGTATATGCAATATACAAATGTGTAATAATTTATAATATATATATATATATATATATATATGCACTCATATTGATGTTTGAATATAATTTTCTTATTTATAGCTTTTTCTTCTTATTTATTTGGTCAATTTAAGTAAAGATTACTTTAGTATTTATGAGTTAAAGTTGTTGGCAATGATACTATATATATTTGCAACTTCACTGATTGAGCTCCATATATACATACATATGTATATTGTAATAATGTTATTGATTTTCAATAGAGACTGAGAGGATATAGAGAATGTAGAATATTGGGTATGAAAGAAAAATAAACGGAAAATAAAAATACATATCAATTTATTTTAATAATTGGATATAAAAATGTTGAGTTTAAATAAAAAAGTGTTTTGTTGAACTTCTATAAACATAAAAAGGTTAGAGTTATCGCGCTCTTACCCAAAAATATATTATGCTTATCTGAATCAAGTAGCAATACAATTCAATGCCTCATATCCGTGCAAATTTCTTTTGGAAATTATTTTTTTACGACTTATCCTAAATTTATGCAATTTACCAATAAATACCATCTTTAGAATAAAGTTTCCAAAAGCGTAAATGTGTCGTTTTACAAACCGACTTAGTTGATGCATCCATCAACTATAAATTTATTTTATTAACCCTGGAATTCAAAAAACATATTGTGCTAAATTATCCAAAAACAGGTGTTTTTGTGTAAGTGTTTACGCTAGGTATGCCACTTCTAATTTTTACGTTAATTTTTACGTCTGTTTTTCGCTTTTCATTTCTTTTATGGCACTAATAAGATATTTATAACATAAAAACTGTTTTTCAATTTTAAATTTTCTGAAGAAATGTTGATTGTACAGCAGATGACGTTCTGTTATGCGGAATTTTGTGTATCAATACTTTATATCTTTTATCAGTTTAACACTGACATAAATAAGTAAGTAGCAGAATTACAAAAAAAAAACAAGAATTTTAAGTTTGTTTTATTTCAAAGCTCTTCAAAGAAAATTGTATAATAATTTGGAGAACTTCGTGAATCATTTCTCCATTATTATTTATTAAGTTTATTTGTTATTGTTATTAGTTGGTTAATATTTGTAGCAACATTTACAATATATATTAATCAAAATAAAATTTGTTTTTAAGATATAAAAATTGATTATGTGTATTATTTATTTAATATTTTTTTTATTCTGGATTTTCGAATAAATTTTCAATGGTTACTAATGCTAATTGGAATAAATTAAATTTCATATAGCAACGCGATCTATATTTGAAATTTTTTCCGTTTGTAAATTATTTTTTTCCCTTTATAAAAATGTACGGTCTATAACAAAAAAAAAAAAAAAAAAATTGAAAAATACGGTTTAAAAAACATTAAATTCATAATTTGACTTTAAAATTACCAGTAATATTATATTGATCCCTCAATTCAACTGAACTTTTTTTTCAGCATTACTTTAAAATTTTTGGTATAAAGCGCATTTTATGTATACAATGAATATGTATATAATGCAGAAACTATGTATAAAATGCACTCCTCGTTTATACGTTTGTTTTATCGAAAAAAGTAACATCCTAAGCAAAATTAGGACGGATTTCCTTATGTAATTCAGCTTCAACATATTGTCTATATATATATATAACTACTATATATTTATAACTACTACTTTTTTTCTCTTGCATCGCAATATGTTGATTTAACGGCAGGCAATTTGACTTATTCAGCTTGAATGGCTGAAATTAGTATAGATTGAAAATTGCATTATTTGTAGTAGAAATTGAAAGTTGCATTGTTTATATTTAGGTAATGACGTTCCTCTATGTCCCTTTATATGGACACCGATATAACTAACGGATATCTTCGGGTATTTACATGGGACTGGGTTGAGTATAAGTGGAATATGGTTAAACTACAATAAGCCATGAATGGTTGCGTAGATCGGAGGGAAGAAGTTCTTTTGCCAATATCTCTCTTCATTAATCTACAATATATAGGTAACGCACTCGTTGTTTGTGGATAACTTCAAAATAACAGTAATGCGCTAAACAAAATTCAGCTTGTGAAGCTTAGAAATATAGTACTACTACAATTTTGAATCAACAGTATTTGAATTTTTTTTATATATTGAGTATTCTATAGTTTATTATATATAGTTTATACAAAAAGCAAATTAGCATATATTCTAAAATTATAAAAACAGAATTTGAAATTTTTTCTAAATTAAATTTGCTTTTTTTTTTAATTTTATTTAATTTCTGTTTTAAATGACTCTCCAATAACCTTGGAATTTTAATATTTCAACGTTTGTTTGAAAATTTATGTATCTATATAAATACATACATATGTACATATAAAGCGTAATAATAATTAATAATTGTTGTTAAGCGTTTTTTTAAGCTTTAACTGTTTTTTTTTTTTATATTGTTAAGATAATATTTTTTAAATAAAAAACTCTTTAAATGAATGTGTCTGCTATAATAGGGTTGCATTATATAAAACAAGAACCAGAAAACGAAAACAAAATAAGAAGAAAACACTTTAAAACAAAAAACCAGACAAGAAAAACTTACAATTTTTTATTACAAATTATTTTAAAAATTTGCATAAAAAATTAAAAAGAAAAAAATTATAAAAAATATTTTTGTTTTTTCGCAGAAAAACAAACACCTTTACTTAGAAAACACCTGAAATTCATTTGAGTTATATTTGCATTAAATTTGTGTTTTATTTTAATTATTTATGTACATACATATATCTATGTATATTGATGTAGTTATAATATTAGTACATAAATGCCATATTGGTACATATGTATGTAAATAGAAAGTATAATTTAGCATAAGTGTAAAAGATTACATATAGTGTTACACAATCCCTGACTTCAAAATTACAATATAATACACAAATGCGGTATTAATAAAAAATTCAGCTTATGAGTTGTAGTTCCTGAGTTGTGTATTAATACCGTATATGTATTACTGCACTTTTTGAATCAAAGATTTTCAATTCAATTTCAATTTCATATTTATTTCGTATTTAACTTTTATTTCTATATAAATATTTACATCATTTTTATATAATATTGAATTATATAAAATGTAATTGTAATTAATAAGTTAAAATTATTTTCAGAATTCTAAGGTAATCCTTCACTAACCAAAGCAAAAGAAAGATAAAAAGAATAAATTAGGAAAACAATTCATTGAATTAAAAAGAGATAAGAACGGAAGGAATTGAAATTAATCAGCGGGCAAGTGGCAAGCAAGTGGGCGGGATACTCAAAATATTTAATAGTGAAACAAAACACAAAATAAACACGGGCGAGGTGATTAAAATAATATTAATAAAAGAACGTTATTGTAAAAATTATAAATATTTGATTATAAATTTAAATTAATAATGCCAGTGTTTAATATAATATCACGTCGACAACAAAAGGTAAGTTTATACTTTTATTTATGATGTAAAATTTCATTACAATTTATTTTACGTAACTTCACTAATGCAGTTATGACGTAATATTTACAATTACCAAAGCAATAACTACAACTACAAGTTTAATGGTGTATTAATAATGTATTAAAGAAATTTCAAAGTTAAAGGCATCTCCGTTTCGTATTATATAATATTTTGTACATTTTGATGTTGGTTTCATTTAAAATTTATATAATGACTATTTAATATAGTCATTATATAATGGTGTTCCCATCTTCCTTTTTTCGTGTGGGTTGCATTTTAATACCTTTCTGGCTATCGTATTTCGACCTTTGTAAAGTGTCTTCTATCCATCTTCATTTTCTTTCTTTTATAGAAATGTTTTTAGGCCTCTGGCTCGTAATCGCCCATAAATCGTGGTTAGTTATTGTTCAGGGGCAAAATATTCCACATATTATTCTTAGGCGTCTGTTGATATATGCCTGTACCTTATTGATATACGTTGTGACTGCCAACTAAGTTCCACAGTCATACAGTAGTACCGATTTCACACAAGGATTGAATATTCTTTTTTTAGTGTTCTTTGCCAAGTTGCAGGACTTATGAATAAAATGAATTTTCGTGATCAACAAAGAAAGATTATAGCATGATTTCATTTTAAAAAATTGATTTAATTTTAATTTTAAATGTGATAAATTTAGACCCCAAAAAATTTTACAAAATCTAACACAAAAACAGATTTTTTTTTAAATTTCAACGCTTTTTTTAACATATCATTTAATGGTAAAATGTAAGTAATGTGACAATGAATTAAATGCATAAAAACGAAATACTAATAATAACACTAATATCAACAACAATAATAATGAAAACAATTTTTTGTAAATAATTTAGTTAATTTATCAAGTAAAAACGTGTATGTACCAAAATAATAACACAACAAAAAAAAAAAATAATAATAATTATCATAATATATATGATACTTATGCATGGTGTTTTGCATAAGGTGGCAAATAATTCCAGGGACGATTCGTTGATTAGTTTCCAGCAAAAAATTGAATGGGTGGCTACGCATTTTTCAAATGTTTTTTTAAAAACTTTTAACACGTTTTACTAATAAAACTACAAAAGCTAGAGGAAAATGTTATGTTATGTTATATTAGCTTTTATGTTATATAACTGTTAGCTTTCATTGTAGTGCATCAAAAAAAAATAACACAAATTTTTAAGAAATTTCTGAGTTTTTTTTTTAAAATCTCAATAAAAAATACAAAACTCTGATAAATATTTATTTATATGCAGGAAAAACTCTGGTACCTTTTTTTTAACAGGCGAAACTTGAAAACGAGGTAAACCCCCACCCCTTTTAAAGAAAATGTCACCAGGTGTTTTTTATTCGTCTGTAGTTATTCTATTACTCTGCTTCGAGAATAGCATTGAGTCTCGGACACCCTGTATATATGTGCACATATTATGTAAATCTAATTTAATAATAATATAAACAAGCATATTAACTATATACATATAAACAGTGGTGAACAGTAAAAACTTTTCCGAGAGTAACGTGTATTTGTAATTTTTTTCTACTTTACCAAAGATATAGCCAATAAATATATTCTAAAATTTTGGCTTATTTAAATGATGATATATACTTTTTATACTTGATTCGAATCTTAGAATATATCAAACTCTATGCTGTTCAACTGATAAATAATTTTCACTGTAATAAGTTAAATCAGAAACTGCTTGTCTTTACAATATTTTCGCTAGGTTTTCTTTTTTTTTTGTTTGTGCATTAGTTTGACGTTTTAAAATACCTAGGTATTTTTAAAAAAGTTACAAAATTAATTGACCGACACTCCAAGAATTATGAAATATATTGTAATATTCAAATATTGCCCTGAAAATGAGTAATATTATACACAATTCGCATGCATATTTTATAAATATATTCTAATTTGCTCAATTTTCAAACTTAATTTAAAGTTCTTTTTTAGCACTTTTCCAAAAATTTTTTGAAAAGTACTTATTAGTTTCACTCTTTTGCTTATTAGTTTACAAAACTTTTACACCCTTGAAGATAGAAAGCTGAAATTTAATACGTACATAGATCTTAACTAGAAGCTTATTTCCATAGAACAAAATTTTTACATATCTGCCCCCCCCCCCCAAAATCCTAAAAATTCCATTTTTTTAACTGTTTAGTGCAGTGAAACCCTAAGCATTTTGGAAATTTTGCAAACGCAGAAAGGCAGTGACTTGCTTCCCCTAGCGCGGTATACTATAGTTAAACTTTAGAAAAACAAAATGGTCGTTCAAATTTACCGTTATTTAAAGTCCTTTTTTTCCAAATTTTTAATGTCGTTTTTCTTGTAGACCCCAGCCTGTTGAAGCCTGAAATTTTAGGGGCTTTTCGACACTAATAAATGCTTCATTTCGTTAGAAGAAAAGTTTTTTCCATCTCCACCCCCTCTCAAGTTATCGGCTATTGAAATTTGTAAAATTTGAATTTTTGACACCTTATATTTCCGAAATCGCAAGTTTTTTCAAATTTCTATAAACGGAAAAAGCTAACGGTAAATTCCATGACATTAAAAAATATAATTATTTTCCTTAACTAACACAATTAACCCTTAAAATCGAGCATTATGTTAACCCTTCATTACATTAATTTTTGCTTTATTTCAAAGACTCCATAAAATGTTCATCCTAAATAAATGCAATCCTAGAAATAGTTTCGTTTATGAATGAAAATAATTTAAATAGTGTAATAGGTATACTAGACTGTATTTAAAAGCAGAACTTTCACTTGCTGAAGGGAAAAGTGCTACAATACAAACCATTGGTTTGACCTAACTTTATTTTTGTCTGTCAGTGTATTTTACCAACCGAGTAATCCAAATTTTAATCTTCTTTCTTCACCACTGTGTGTAATAAAATATATATATATAAATTCTAATAATCTATTTATAAATTTAATTTTATGTATGTATGTATATTAATACATATATATACAGAGCATATAAAATGTGTTGAAAATATATATGTACACTTAAATAAACTCGAAAATTTTTTAAATAAATTTCACAAACATGACTTTGTATAAATAAATAATTTACGAATTTTCATTTTTTACGAGATTAAATAAACATGAAAGCGCTTTAGATATAAAATGCAAATTAACAAAATAAATATAGAGAATTATTTTGTAGATTACATAAAATTATCATTACTTATATATTAAATATTTATAGTTATACATAAGCTTCACTTAAATACATAAAAATAAATGTAAAATGGCCTCTAAAATATAGAAAAATATTAAATGAAAAAATTTCATAAATATAATTCATTATATAAGTAATAAGAAATTTACCTGAAATTTTGAACGAAATGTAGAAATTAATTACTTTTTATTTCGATCTTTTTATCGAATTGCATTTAGATACAAAAATGAAACAAGGTAATTTGATTTCCCTCACACTCTTGTATATTTGTTTTTAGTTAAACATAATATGTTTAACTGTTTTGCTTTTCTGTTTATGTCTCTGAACGGGTTGGGTTTATTAATGAAATTTTATACAAAGTTACACAATTCAGCAATTTCAATTAATGTAAATAATAAAAAAATCAACTATCTATCTTGAATTATAATTTTACAAAGTTTTTAATGTCACGGAAAATTTTGTTACCAAAAACCAAGAATATTTTGGTATCAAAAAAAAAAATCTTAATATTTATTTTTTTGTCTCTTGATATTTTTGTTTTATGTAGTTACTTAAATTTCGCGTGCAAAAATATCCAAATATTTACATATGTATTTTTAATATTTATTTCACGTTAAAATGTACATACGTATATGTAATACATAATAATATATTAAATGGTATTATAATAAAATTTCAACTATATTGTGATATTTTTATGACAATGCAATAAATCACGATGGTGGCGGTGCGATTATTGTGTTCTTACTTTTAAACATTATTATAGTTATAGTTTATTTTTTTTCTTAGAAATTTTTTAAGATTTTATTTCAAACTGGCAAAAGAATATTTGATATGATCGTATTAGGCAGAGTTGGTCGTGTTACTAACGGAATGGTAACATTATAATATCTTTTGAATAATATACGTGTGTTAAAAACTATAAAAAATAATAATGATTATGAATTAAAGATTAGTAAATTAATTGGAATTTTAATTTTATAAATTTTTGTTGTTTTCTATTATTCTTCTTGTTAATCCAAGGGAACTCTCGTTTATTAGCGTAAAAACTATGGAATTTTATTTTAATATACGACATCATTATAATCGAGTGACGTATGTACGTACCTATATTGAATTAGAGGAATTTGAATTTTGGATTACTAATATTTAAATATTTAGTTATAACTCAATTCCAATCTATTATACATTGAAAAAATAAACAATTTTTTTTTCCAAATAACAAAAAAACATATTTTAATAACTACATACATATAACTACATACAATAAAAAACAATAATTTTTTAACTAATGAACACTATAATTTAATCAGCAAAATTTTTTTGTATTTTTATTAAGTTTTCATACACATATGTGTATAGTCATATCAACGAGTATATTGTACTCTCTGGCTATCTGGAAAGGATGTACGTACATTATAAATTTATAATTTCTTCTACGATGTTAACACATTTATTATACAATGTAAATTATATGCGATAGATCAACATCAAAATTATCTCTTTTTAGTACTTTTTCAAAAAAGTTTTGAAAAAATAGTTTCACTCTGTACAGCCGTCCGTCCGTTCGTTCGTCTGTCTACGTCCTTGAAGATAGAAAACTGAAATTTCATATTATGTACGTAGATTTTTACTATAAAAATGACATTTTTTGACTACTTATTTTGAAACCATAAACAAATTTAAAATTTTATTAAAACATAATACTCGTAACATAATGAAATATTAAAAAAGCAAAATGGCTAGTAATATTATTAACCTTTATCTAAAACCCTT